TGGCGTGGAAACAGCAGTTAGATCTAACAAAAACCCTTGTCTGAAAACCATGCATATTCGCTGCATTGGCCGAATGGTTGATACATATTGCGAACATCCTTTGGACTCAATAGACAGACCGAATGCCGTGGATGAGCAAACACTACTGGATTTGAATGCTGTCGGATACGAAACTAATTCTTCTGTTTAGGTCGGCTGAATGAATCGGCGATGTTCACATTCTAAAACATCCACGATTAGCTGGAAAACAGTGAAAAGTCGGGATGCCCAAACTTCTGCTGTTAAGACATATTCCAGGTAGATCAAAAAGTGCAACTTCCACTTTAGATCTCTGCAGAGCCTGACAATGGACGACTATCACACATGGAGAACGGCACTATAGGCTTTGAAAGGTGACTCGACTCAGTTCTTCACAACAATTGACCTGTTTGGAAGGAGTTTAGTCTCCCTATTGCAGCTGCAACCCCGTCAAACGGCGCAACGTCCAGACGCACACACCTTGATGAGGCAAGCATTTTCGGTCACCAGCGTCTTCATCACTCCACTTGCTAAATGGGACAACTGGAACACTGTCTAGTCAGGACCTAAAACAGCTCTCTGGCCTTGAACCGACCGGGAACCGGGAAGCAAATGCGCTGCTTGAAACACAAGCATATGTTAATCAAGTCCATTCCCTTGTCCGATATAAGGTGTCGTGGACTAACTGCTCTCACTGTAGGTACAAACTAGTAAACTTAGAAACTAGTCAATTATGAAGCACCGTGTGCACTTTTTGAATTTCTTTTGTTGGTCGAGCACTGCGACCCATGAGGCGTCGCACTGACTAGCTCCGGTCACTCCTTGTGCAAACCGACTCCTCATTCAGTCGATCAATATTCCATGCACCCTGAGAATCAGTAGCACGTGATTGTCTCGCCCGCATGATAACGCTTAGATGTGTTGCAAAAAAAACCTCCGAAGAATATATTCAACGTTGTCCCACTACATGTGTCTAGGACTAATATGCGATAGAAATGTTCCGGTCTCCTTTTTTAATCAGTGTTTATAAGTTCCCTTTGGTATTCCTGCTCATGTCGCTCTTGTCTGAACACTGTTCATTCTGTTTCTTTCTCGCCACGACATAACAGGGAAGTACCAGAATCAGGTTTCGTTCATACTAAAGCTCGTCACCTAGGCATGTCTTCAGCAGCGCCGGAATTCGGGGCACAGAGCAACTAATATGCGGGGCATGCTCCTCAGTCGATCGATAAGACATCTATTTGGTTGTTGCCGGAGAACTCGTGTAGCCCAGTCATGTCGGTTGAGCATGAATGTGTTCGCCTGTACATATGTGTTAGATTAGGCTCATCCATCATGCGCTGGAGGTATATTCGTGGGATATTTTTCCAGCCAATCGGATTTCTTTGGTTCCAATCTTGGCATCGTGGAATACAGGTACTGGCAAGTGGCCCTAAGAATACAGGGACCAGTGGTTGCCTTGTCTGACATAGACTAACCGGAATCGTCGTGTCCGACCAGAATGAGGATTTCTTTAAACGAGACTAGTGTATGTAAAAATTCTACAAATTCTGAAACTGCCAATCGCCAGTTGACTTCTGACAACCTCCTTTTAGAAACAGCTTCTGCGTGTCTAACTGCGTTTTTGCTGCAAAACTTAAGGTAGAAATTAAACACCTTATCAGATGCACCCAGGGTAAATTGGAGTTCCTGGGTCACACTGGTCTCAACAGCGGTCTCCCATTTGAAAACGGTCCAGTTAGTATCACGAAGAGACTGGAACTTACCGTGGTGTGAACAGTTTGCGCACCTCAGAGACCCGTTGAGCAACACTGGGGAGTGTCCCCGCGACATTCACAGAGTCTCTCATATCAGGTCGGCCAAGGGTTAGGGGTATGATGAACACAGTCTTCTTGTCCTTCAGGTTGCGGGTTGGAACATGTGGCGACTTGTTCCGTAGAAATGGTAATGCATGTTCGTTCACATTCACATCACTCTCGTTTGAAAAGTCGTCCCCCTGTCCTGGCGCAATTATTCTGGTGAATCCACACGAAAGGGGGAAGCAGTGGCCTCAGGTTCCGCTCTTATTAGAGCTCATCAGCAAAGCCTATCCAATGGCAGTGCCGGGTTAGAACTTCGGACACCTAACATGCGAGGCGAACGTGTTACTACTATTCAACCAGCGCAAGTTCGACTTATCTGAATTCTCACGCTTGAGCGATGGGATTGGTATGCCCAACTCATAATCGATACGACGACCTGGTTGTGGAGATCAATTAGCCCGCGTGTCAGAGCTTCCCAACCAGGTAGCGCCACAGACGCTTGAAGTGTATTTGCATTTTCCCCCAAACCCCGCTGCATTGTGGCTAGGTTTTTGAGCAAAGGCTTTAGTTTTGAACCCTAATCGTCCTCTTGTCAGGTGTAGGCGCCCTGATAGTATTTCAGCCCATGTACAACGACGATATCATGGTTGTACGGCAGCGAAGCATCGGTGCTGAACACTGATGTCATACTCTCGACGCGGATGCCGTTAGTGGTTGTTGTAATGCTTAATTTTCCTGAGCGTATTTCATTTCAGCTATTCTTTATGGGTATGTATTTTGCCCTAGAACGAAGTTACTAAATCCTGTTCTTTAAGTCGAACACGGGGTCGGGGGTGTTCATTCTGTTTCTTTCTCGCCACGACATAACAGGGAAGTACCAGAATCAGGTTTCGTTCATACTAAAGCTCGTCACCTAGGCATGTCTTCAGCAGCGCCGGAATTCGGGGCACAGAGCAACTAATATGCGGGGCATGCTCCTCAGTCGATCGATAAGACATCTATTTGGTTGTTGCCGGAGAACTCGTGTAGCCCAGTCATGTCGGTTGAGCATGAATGTGTTCGCCTGTACATATGTGTTAGATTAGGCTCATCCATCATGCGCTGGAGGTATATTCGTGGGATATTTTTCCAGCCAATCGGATTTCTTTGGTTCCAATCTTGGCATCGTGGAATACAGGTACTGGCAAGTGGCCCTAAGAATACAGGGACCAGTGGTTGCCTTGTCTGACATAGACTAACCGGAATCGTCGTGTCCGACCAGAATGAGGATTTCTTTAAACGAGACTAGTGTATGTAAAAATTCTACAAATTCTGAAACTGCCAATCGCCAGTTGACTTCTGACAACCTCCTTTTAGAAACAGCTTCTGCGTGTCTAACTGCGTTTTTGCTGCAAAACTTAAGGTAGAAATTAAACACCTTATCAGATGCACCCAGGGTAAATTGGAGTTCCTGGGTCACACTGGTCTCAACAGCGGTCTCCCATTTGAAAACGGTCCAGTTAGTATCACGAAGAGACTGGAACTTACCGTGGTGTGAACAGTTTGCGCACCTCAGAGACCCGTTGAGCAACACTGGGGAGTGTCCCCGCGACATTCACAGAGTCTCTCATATCAGGTCGGCCAAGGGTTAGGGGTATGATGAACACAGTCTTCTTGTCCTTCAGGTTGCGGGTTGGAACATGTGGCGACTTGTTCCGTAGAAATGGTAATGCATGTTCGTTCACATTCACATCACTCTCGTTTGAACAGTCGTCCTCCTGTCCTGGCGCAATTATTCTGGTGAATCCACACGAAAGGGGGAAGCAGTGGCCTCAGGTTCCGCTCTTATTAGAGCTCATCAGCAAAGCCTATCCAATGGCAGTGCCGGGTTAGAACTTCGGACACCTAACATGCGAGGCGAACGTGTTACTACTATTCAACCAGCGCAAGTTCGACTTATCTGAATTCTCACGCTTGAGCGATGGGATTGGTATGCCCAACTCATAATCGATACGACGACCTGGTTGTGGAGATCAATTAGCCCGCGTGTCAGAGCTTCCCAACCAGGTAGCGCCACAGACGCTTGAAGTGTATTTGCATTTTCCCCCAAACCCCGCTGCATTGTGGCTAGGTTTTTGAGCAAAGGCTTTAGTTTTGAACCCTAATCGTCCTCTTGTCAGGTGTAGGCGCCCTGATAGTATTTCAGCCCATGTACAACGACGATATCATGGTTGTACGGCAGCGAAGCATCGGTGCTGAACACTGATGTCATACTCTCGACGCGGATGCCGTTAGTGGTTGTTGTAATGCTTAATTTTCCTGAGCGTATTTCATTTCAGCTATTCTTTATGGGTATGTATTTTGCCCTAGAACGAAGTTATTAAATCCTGTTCTTTAAGTCGAACACGGGGTCGGGGGCGCCTTTTTGTCTAGTACAATGATGGAATGTGAAGTCAGACGCCAATTGGTGTATTGACAATTGCCCCCTGGGACTGCTGCTCTCAGACCATTGACTCCGCAAGAAAGCTGCTTCTATGGTCAAATTTAAATGGAACTAACTTCTACTGGTGGATGCACAAAAAGCCAAATATAAGCATATCCTTGAATTACTTGAGCAATAAATTATGAGCTGCACTAAAACGTCACTAGGCTCAGTGGTTGAACAACCCCTTGGTGAGCAGGTACTGCGAAAAAACATCCGTTGTGCCTGAGGAGTGCTTTAGCCTAACGAGTCATCCAGGCAGCAAGTTGGTTACTTCAAGCAGAGGCGGGCGTCTTGCGATTCAGGTGAATCATTCGTGGTCGTCCGAATTCAAATATTTTACAAATGGAATCGGAGCCGTGGGCTGTAAGGCTTGCAGCTAATGCTAAGTACGACTGTTATTCGTTTGACCTATTAAAACAAGTTGTACCAGTGTAGCAAAAAGCAAGAAAGTTCCAGCGTTGTTGTCTAGTTCGTCAGAAGAAAAGATTTAAAACTTAAACACCCAGTTGTACGCTTATAATATCACCTGGATATCAGCAATAAAGCCGTTGTTTCAAGTGGAGGAGTTATCCTAAGACCCATGACTTGTCTCATCCGGATTCACTATTCGGGCCTGGTCAAAAAATCAAATTCAGTCCCCATCCTTACTTAGGTTCACTAGGTATCTCGATATGCAAAAGTAACATCACTGTCATCAGGACACACAAACAACTTACCCCTTTAGCTGTGATTGGCTGTTCTTTGACTTCCTGTTCCTGGATGCGCCCAACATTGCCAACCGTAATTTGTGTGATCGTCTCAGACTGGGTCCGATCGCAAATGTTGCGGCTACACTTTATCCCACAATGCAGACGGCGTATGTCAAAACCAATTGGATACCAGGCGCGATTATAGACAATTGATTTTCTTCTGCATACGCGACTGGGATTCCGCAAGTCAATCAATAGACATGTTCGTTTTGTTTATTGATCATGCCACTAATGGTTTTCACCATCTACTTTTGTTTAACAGAACTGTTAAATAGGAAACATCATAGCTTCTCTGCCATGCGCGCTATGCCTGGCGGTTCACCACAGCTTAAATAGGATATCAACACAGCTTCCAGTCTGGCCAATCAAAATTTTGTCGCCTCCTACTCACCAAAAGTCTGGGGAATCGATCAGTTATTTCCGGAGTGGATTGGTCAACACAGGAGCATGGTACGGGAATTGTACATCAATCTTACCTCGTTTTGTCCACAATGAAAAACAGTCTGCTTGTTTTGACACATTGGTAGTAAGGACAGACAACTGTACATTTGAAAATTGTGGAAGTGTTATGAATCCGGGAGTAGTTTTCTTTTTAGTGGACCTTTGATTCCGCCTGTGTCAACCTGGCCGCTACGTCAAATTTCTAGTTAATTTGGCGAGTTTCGGTAGAAAATAGACGACCCCAAATGACTTTTGAGGAAGCCAGATGGAGTTGTGTAATTGATACTACTCTAAATTCAAGTAAATCGATATGGACGAATATAGCTAGGAAGAGCTCATTGGATTTACGGTAAACCGTCTACCAATATCAAGCACCTTGTGTAGAGGTATGAAACATGAAACCCTCCGTTGTCTTACGCTTCTCCTGTGTCCACATCACCTTCTAGGGTGCACCAATCTGAAATTGACTTTGTAACTATAAGATAAATTCTTTGAAGCAGACGAGAGCAATGAAACTACTCAAACTCACATCTAACTTAGATGGTTTTATGTTGCTATTACAAATTTTCTAATAGCGACAGCGTCAGTTACTACGTCACTTAGAGCAGATGTTCATGATACAAGAGGAAAGTAGTGAGCATTCTGTGTGCAATATCATCGTCGCTTAATCTAGTAATGCAAAAGGACAGCACATGTCCCTTGAACTTTTCTAGATATGCGAAGCTAGAGTAAACTGCATCATCCTTTTACGTATTTACTCCCGCAAAGGCATGTTTGCAGACTGTTAGAACATGGGCTGGTCGCAGTGATAGTCCACTCCAGACAGATTGGTTGTTGACGTTTGAATTGAAGTTACAGGTTATTAGTAGTCTCCGCATAACTGAAGAGTCAGATGTGATTCGCGTGGGGTCGAAGTAGTGCTGCATGCAAAACCGTAATACCAGTGTATACCCGGAGGAATCAGACTAGCCATTACACACTCAGACACGTGTTATAAACCATCAACTGGCTCACACCCGATGATCTGACGATGGGAAAAGCGTCGACTCCCATTCATGTACTGGTGTCTAATCCTTTAAGGTCAAGTGTAATATGGCTGATTCCCAAGTACGGTATCATACAACTATCTTCCAGGACTATCTAATAGTGCATCCTCAAAGGAGTGTGATTGATAATGTTGTCCTTCGGATGACAGTGTCTGTCAAGTATTAGAAAATTGGACAAAGTTAACCTCGTTCTTGTTGTTTGCATTTGTCAGATGGACGGTGAGTACACTGGTCACTTCCAGGACGATCCGATTAAATCAAATGCTCTCGCGTGGTTGGGAATTTCCCATGATCGAGCTTTCCTAGGGAGATTGAGCTCTTTTTGCGCATCCCGCACGCTTTACAGCACTCTGACCAGAGAGCCATCCAAACTGAACAATCAACCTGCGCTGAACCGGCATACTACCTTCTCAATGGTGGAATGTTTCTAAGGAGACAGTTGGTAAAAAGACACTCAACAAGCCGGAGCAAAAGTACAACTCTACAATTATCCCGTATTGATTTAAAAGTCGGTCAGGATATTAATGCAGGTTCTGCTGTCTAGTTTTTATCCAAGCATGCGAAACTCCCAGAAAGTTGACAAAATTATCGGACAGTCGAAATCTCGCAAATACCGCACTGTTGGCTGGGTCAAACGATTTGGTGAAATCCGAAGAACGGCATACGGAGGGCTCGTTCTGTTCGCGAAGTTTTTACTGTATTTGTTCTGCGGCAGACACCAAGTGGAGCTTACTCCCACCGCTTTAAATTCCACATTCTACTTCTGGAACGGTTTATTTCAGGCCAGTGACTAGTTGACTGAGTGGAATACGCGCTATATTCTTGTCTGCTGTCCGCAGGACAGTGATTCCGCGGTAGTTGCTGGTCTTCTGCGGAATTATTCCCAGAGAACTAACGGTTGCGTTTGAGAAATCTTGCGAAAGATTTTCCAGACTATGCACAACAGATGAAGTTCTTTCTACGGCGTCGGTCGTCTCATCTTGAACGGTCTTGCAGGCAGCCAGGTCAAACTCGCTACACTACCATTTTGCGGCTGGCTTATGACTGTTTGTCGTTTTGTACTTACAGGCCAGTCAGCCAAGTTCATCTTCATTGCATATTGGGGAAGATGAGAAATGTTTCTCAACCAACCGTCTCATAGTCGATTGAAAAGTGTTGAAATGTGATTTTGGTGAGCGGCCCGAATTCCACCGAACTTTCAGATTTTCTCACAGGCCTTCAATTGGCCGAAAATATTCTTATCTCGGTTAAAAAATTTCCCTTTGTCCTGAAAACACTTCGTAACAAGGGCTTAACTGTTTACAGTTGGAACTATTCACCTGTTAACATTGAAAGTTGCTTCGAAATCCTAAAACCAAGCGTTAGTGTAGACAGATACATCAACATCAACAGTTCATCATCGTCTGAACATCCGTTATCACTCTCATGAGGTTTCCAGACATACCGATGTCAAAACCGGTTAAGAGTGACAGATTCTGATAATGATGAAAACTCTCTTCACTGCGTAGAGTACAATCTGACGATGGATTTTCAGCCCGATAAACAACCCGAGTTTTCGACTTCGGTTTGTATCGAAGACTAACGAAAATAACTGTGTGCTTCAAATAATGAAGCACTAAGGAACAATTGGACAAATGAAATTTTTATTCGATGGTTTTGTCCGGTCTTCACTACGGCAACGATGGACCAGCAACGATGTGCATTTGAGAATGCAGCATTCTCATAACATTCATGTTTGCCCTGATTAGTCTACGACACCTTCTACTTCGAAGTTAGTTTGTTTAAACCGTTCACACAAAAAATTTGTAGAAACTCTTCAGCCACGTGAACGTTTACTGCGTGTAGATAGGAAACCGATATCTGCTTCAATTCTTATAGACGACATATATCATTTGGTTAGCGTCCATGGAGCATGGTGATGCAAGTGTGTAACGTTGTCTGTCCCAACGCGGGTAAAATAATCTCCTATGAGAGAAGTTATGAATTCATAATCGGGCATCATCCTGAATATTGCGGATTTGCCTTTAATGATTCCTTTACAACCAATGCGTTGGTCGTATGCCTACGTCACATGGTAAACCACAAAGATACGAGAAACCAACTGTCTGAGTATTTGAGCATTTGAACCGACCCGTACATTATAAGGACTCTTAAAAGGTTGGTAACTAGACTACCTCATACCTATTTTACACCTGGGGAGTGCTTTAGCTCGTATTCCTTCCAAGATCCCGGTCACAGTCATAATCCACAGCTTCTCCTAGAACATCTGTCACCCTCGAACACAATGTTTTGGCTTGGCGCCGGTCGAAAACAGGCCGTTTTGTTCCATTCAGTTAAAACAGTTGCAAACGCGTTTCGATGGTCCAATTTTTTTGTTTGTTGTTAATAACTCATTCCGAGGGAAACTATGTATGGAAAAATGGCATAAATTTGCGATAGAATGACGCCAGTTTGTCGGCCGGTCAGTCGCCCTTGCGCGAGATATTTTGTACCCAGGTGCTATGTAATACGTATCTCAAATAGTGTACTGGTCTCTTCGAATTGTATTTCTTAAGATTTCACATAGACTTTCGAATACCACTCTAATTGTTTAGGTTTTACTCTGTGTCCCCGTATAACCTAATGAAATCGTACAGCTTGTTCAAGGAATCTTCCGCATGAGAGCGGGCAAGACTGTTCACACCGGACATTGGAAGATGGGTGGAACGTTATTAGGAACAAAATAGATTGTCTGAAATTGATTCACCAAGGGAAAGAGACGGAAATACGTTTTTTTATCCGTCTCCCTCCTCTGATTCCCAGAGGTGAACGGATCAACCTTCAGCGGTTTCATCCATCAATATGAAGTATGAAAACAGGATTGACGCGAATCGGCATTTTCCAACCTATTGGCACTATTGGCCACTATTGGCCACCATTGGCACAGATGACCATGAGGATTCAAAGTACTGAATTAAATTGTTCTCCAGCATTTATTCGGTCACATCCAGCGCTTTTTGTTGGTAGCATAGTAGAAGACAGGATGGCGGAACCTGATCAGAGTTGAGCACTATTTCGGTAGTGCTCTGCACTCACACGTCTAGGTGGAGTTCCTTTGAAATCAAACATCTCGGTACAACATTCTACGATGGACATCGGTGTACGTTCTACTCAAACTTCAAAGTGGACCTTCGTTTTCTAACTTGATTCAGTGAATTTTGGTTCAAAACTGATTTGAAATTCTCTCAACTCACCTGCCGTGAGATTTGAGCGCCCACAACAACCGATAAAACTTTTAATTGATATTCAATACTATCTAGTGTGTTAGTCGGATGAGATCCTCCTTACTGTTTCTCCATCTACCTTCAATTCGGCCAACTTGGTAACCTATCCACATAACCTGAAGAAGCTCTTTTGTCAAAAGCGAAACACCTCTCATCTATAAAACCATCGACTGCTCACCAAACGCTTCCGAAACGATCTGAATGAAATAGTCTACCGTGGGTAACAATGTCCTTTCTGCTCTGATACAGGGGTAGACTTTCTCTCTGCTTCTCTGGTTAAGTGCGAATTGGAAATCGTTATTTCCTCCACGAATTCACATAATTGGACCGTTTGTCTATTAATGGTCTGAGTTTTATGTGTCAGTCAAAAAGACTCGGGAAAGCTGTTTCCTGTAAGGTTTGTCCTACAAATAGGTTCTTACCAGAATGTCAGTTACAATCACTGTTTTATGCACGCACACCTGCATGCCAGTAGGTTGGACATACACAGAGCAGAATAGGATCACCTGTCAAAGATCACAT